ATTCCTGGACGAAAAGGTAGGAAATTATGCTTTTTATTAGTACTTTCCACAAAGGATGAATTTATTCCACTTTTGGTACTTTTTCATTCTTCAAATAACAAATACTCTTTGTATGTTCTATAATATGAATCTAAAACACATGATTATTAAACATACACGGTCCTTATTAAACAACATTCTTTAAGAGAGAACTATTTAGTACTTTTTATCTCATTTCTAAAATATTTAACATAAAGATATAAATTTGACTGAATAATAATCTGTTAGTGGGGACTTTTTCATTCTTCAGATGGTACCTTTTGAATTATCTATAAAGGGGGACTGGAACACATGATACACGGTCCTTATTAAATGAGAATTTATAGAAGGAGATTTAGTACTTTTTTATGATATTGGAGATAGAAATATAAAATTTAACGAGTGAATCACAATCTACTAGAAGGACCTTTTTTTCTACTTTTACGTTCATCAAACAATATTTTTTGAATTTTCCATAATATGGAACACAGAAACATATAATTTTTGATTGAATGAGAATCTATAAAATGTATTTTATAGTAATTTTTTCTTCTTCAAATAGTACTTTCGAAATTTTCTATTAAGTTATCAAAATTCTTTATGTTTTGTTTGGGTAGCGATGCACCCAGGGTATTCTAGTACATTTTTTAGAATATTTTTTAAACCACTTATCCGATTTTATTAATTTTGATTTCAAATTAATGGCTACGTAATGTGAATTGAAAATAAGATAGAAATAAGTACATATTAAGGCAGACGTAGTACTTTAATGACTCAGATGCTAATTGACATCGTGGACGATGAACAGAGGGACAGACAAACGGATATGATTAGAACGTATTATTTTAAGGCGTGTACTTAATATTTCAAACTGTTATCAGCCAAATGACAAAAATCAATTATGGTTTTGATTGTGTTTATAAAAAAACATAGAAATGTTCAACATATTCTTTTTGTTAACATAATCATTCATCCGAATTTTTAAACATGATAAAAAGTACATCCATCAAACTAGCAGTTATGCCTAATTAAAAACAATAAGTGTATGTATGTAAATATACTATTCTGTGGCATAAGACAATTGATAACATTTGTCTTCTCCATTCCAATGCTTTAAGTACTCCTCAAAACCAATCAAATTAATTTTGTTCTCTAATGTGTATTATGATTGAAATCGTTTAGCCTTAGGTGGTACCATTAATGCAAATTAAATATCAATTCAATTCCATAACTCCCATCTTAGTTAAACTTACACAAACAGCTTAACATGTATCTAACTCCATAACATCATTGTCATCAAATGTAAGTATAAGTATTAGAACATTTACGATTTGAACAAATTTCTAGCGAATTGTTACCGTAATAAATGAATGATAGATATGTATGTATGTATGTTGTGTATAAATAACCTGAACCCCATAAATGATTTGATTGTATGAAAGCGTTTTGTAGAAAAAGTGCATAAAACAAAAACCTGCAATATAATAGAATTTTATCGGACCAGGAAAATGAAATGAATCTCTCTGGTTGAACAATTCGAACAAACATCTCAAACATAAGAACGCAATTAAGAGCAGAAAGTTTTTTTTTTTTTTTGAAAAAACAAAAGCCTGTGATACTGATTTAACCATTTCTCAGAATTTTGACAAAATTTTATTAAAATTTTAAAATCTTTTATGAGTTTGCGTATAATTTTAGATGTGTTGTTTATAAAACCAAAATATGTATGTATAAAATACATTAACCTTGTGGTTCCCACAATCATCAGTATTCATTTGTAGTTGTTGTCGTTGTTGCTGTTGTGTATGAAAAACATTAAACAGATGTCACCACATAAACAACAGACACAAGGTCTTCTAATAATAGCCAGGGAAGCAAGAAATATTCATATCCTAACATCCAGCAATTTACTTTTTCCTCCTCCCACTACTACTCCTGTCCGCATGTATGTATATTAGGGTAGGCCCTAGAAAAACTAGGAACTGATTGCCTTCGGAAAATAAAAGTTTAGTTCTTTCTAAGATATCGTTTCTCAAAATGTTTGTCCTGAGGTCAATATTTGAAGAGGCTGGTTCAAAGAATAAAAAAAATACTTTTTTTAGTTTTTTTTCAGTTTTCTTAAATATTGATAATTTTAAAATTATTGTTTTATAAACAACACTTTCTGATTTCATGGGATTATTGAAGAAATATTTCAGTTTAACTGAGATAACAGACAATTTCATGTAATTTCTGTCATAAATGTTACTTAAAGTTCTTATCCTTTGCACAGCTTACCAAATTTTTGACCCTAGGGCTAAACTTTTCAGAAATGATATCTTAAAATGAACCAAGCTTAAATTTTCGGTAAGAAAATGAGTAACTTATTTTTTGTCCATACAAATGGGACGACCCTAATGTACATGTACATATGTAGTAGATCATAGTTACCTTTAACAATCGGTATAAAACAGCAAAACAATACAAGAAGACATGGAAACTA